TTCCCCATGGATATAAAAGGAAAAGTAATAAGACCAAGAACTATTAAGAGAAAATCAAAGAAAACTCAGATGAGTGTGTATAAATAAACGTGTACATGTATGTGTAGTGTGACCTAAGTGTAAGTAGAAGTAGCAAGACATACTGTAATCTTGCATATTTATGAGACAGACAAAAGACACCAGCAATCCTTCCATCATGTAAAACAATTACAGGCTTTTGTTTTACATTCCCTTGGCAGGATGGTAGTACCTCCCTGGATGGTTATTATTATTATTATTATTATTATATTATTATTATTATTATTATTATTATTATATTATTATTATTTTATTATTATTATTATTATTTATATTATTATTATTTATTATTATTATTATTATTATTAACACTGGCCAATTCCACCAAGGCAGGGTGGCCCGAAAAAGAAAAACTTTCACCATCATTCACTCCATCACTGTCTTGCCAGAAGGGTGCTTTACACTACAGTTTTTAAAACTGCAACATTAACACCCCTCCTTCAGAGTGCAGGCACTGTACTTCCCATCTCCAGGACTCAAGTCCGGCCTGCCGGTTTCCCTGAATCTCTTCATAAATGTTGCTTTGCTCACACTCCAACAGCACGTCAAATATTAAAAACCATTTGTCTCCATTCACTCCTATCAAACATGCTCACGCATGCCTGCTGGAAGTCCAAGCCCCTCGCACACACATCCTCCTTTACCCCCCTCCCTCCAACCTCTCCTAGGCTGACCCGTACCCCGCCTTCCTTCCACTACAGACTGATATACTCTCGAAGTCATTCTGTTTTGCTCCATTCTCTCTACATGTCCGAACCACCTCAACAACCCTTCCTCAGCCCTCTGGACAACAGTTTTGGTAATCCCGCACCGCCTCCTAACTTCCAAACTACGAATTCTCTGCATTATATTCACACCACACATTGCCCTCAGACATGACATCTCCACTGCCTCCAGCCTTCTCCTCGCTGCAATTAAAATAAGGGTAAGATAGGAGAAGTGGACAATAGTAAGTGCTTCTGTAAATGCGAGAGGAGTATACAAGAGCAGAGAGATTTTAGGTGTTAAGTGAGTGTTTAGGCAGTTTTGAACTAGGTGAGAAAATGTTTTGGGAGACCTGAAAGATAGTGGGAGAGACTTGTAGAGTGTAATAAGTAAGTTTCGAATGCCAGGGGTAATTGATGATTAGGAGGGGCATTTAATTGAGCTATGTATGTTAAGAAAGCCTAGGGAACGTATGGATTTGTCGGTTAAAAACAGAGTAGAGGAGTTAGTAGATTGGCAGAGGGAGGTATTAGGTAGATGGTGAGAATATTTTGAACTTTTAAATGTTGAGGAAGAAAGGGAGGCGGTAATTTCATGCACTGGTCAGGGAGGTATACCATCTTTTATGAGTGAAGAAGAGCAGAATGTAAGTGTGGGGGAGGTATGTTAGGCATTATGTAGAATGAAAGGGGGTAAAGCAGCTGGAACTGATGGGATCATGACAGAAATGTTAAAAGCAGGGGGGGATATAGTGTTGGAGTGGTTGGTACTTTCATTTAATAAATGTATGAGAGGGGAAGGTACCTAGGGATTGGAGGAGAGCATGTATAGTCCCTTTATATAAAGAGAAGGGGGACAAATGAGATTGTAAAAATTATAGGGGAATAAGTTTACCGAGTATACCAGGAAAAGTGTACGGTAAGGTTATAATTGAAAGAATTAGAGGTAAGACAGAATGTAGGATGGCGGATGAGCAAGGAGGTTTCAGAGTGGGTAGGGGATGTGTAGATCAAGTTTTTACATTGAAGCATATATGTGAACAGTATTTAGATAAAGGTAGGGAAGTTTTTATTGCATTTATGGATTTAGAGAAGGCATATGATAGAGTGGATAGGGGAGCAGTGTGGGAGATGTTGCAAGTATATGGAATAGGTGGTAAGTTACTAAATGCTGTAAAGAGTTTTTATGAGGATAGTGAGGCTCAGGTTAGGGTGTGTAGAAGAGAGAGAGAGACTACTTCCCGGTAAAAGTAAGTCTTAGACAGGGATGTGTAATGTCACCATGGTTGTTTAATATATTTATAGATGGGGTTGTAAAAGAAGTAAATGCTAGGGTGTTCAGGAGAGGGGTGGGATTAAATTATGGGGAATCAAATACAAAATGGGAATTGACACAGTTACTTTTTGCTGATGATACTGCACTTATGGGAGATTCTAAAGAAAAATTGCAAAGGTTAGTGGATGAGTTTTGGGAGTGTGTGTAAAGGTAGAAAGTTGAAAGTGAACATAGAAAAGAGTAAGGTGATGAGGGTATCAAATGAATTAGATAAAGAAAAATTTGATATCAAATTGGGGAGGAGGAGTATGGAAGAAAATGTTTTCAGATACTTTGGAGTTGACGTGTCGGCGGATGGATTTATGAAGGATGAGGTTAATCATAGAATTGATGAGGGAAAAAAGGTGAGTGGTGCATTGAGGTATATGTGGAGTCAAAAAACATTATCTATGGAGGCAAAGAAGGGAATGTATGAAAGTATAGTAGTACCAACACACTTATATGGGTGTGAAGCTTGGGTTGTGAATGCAGCAGCGAGGAGGCGGTTGGAGGCAGTGGAAATGTCCTGTCTAAGGGCAATGTGTGGTGTAAATATTATGCAGAAAATTCGGAGTGTGTAAATTAGGAGAAGGTGTGGAGTTAATAAAAGTATTAGTCAGAGAGCAGAAGAGGGGTTGTTGAGGTGGTTTGGTCATTTAGAGAGAATGGATCAAAGTAGAATGACATGGAGAGCATATAAATCTGTAGGAGAAGGAAGGCGGGGTAGGGGTTGTCCTCGAAAAGGTTGGATGGAAGGGGTAAGGGAGGTTTTGTGGGCGAGGGGCTTGGACTTCCAGCAGGCATGCATGAGCGTGTTAGATAGGAGTGAATGGAGACGAATGGTATTTGGGACCTGACGATCTGTTAGTGAGAGCAGGGTAATATTTTAGTGAAGGGATTCAGGGAAACTGGTTTTTTTTATATAGCCGGACTTGTATCCTGTAAATGGGAAGTACAGTGCCTGCACTTTTAAGGAGGGGTTTGGGATATTAGCAGTTTGGAGGGATATGTTTTTTATCTTTATACATATATGCTTCTAAACTGTTTGTGTTCTGAGCACCTCTGCAAAACAGTGATTGTGTGAGTGGGGTTTGAAAGTGTTGAATGATGAAAGTATTTTCTTTTGGGGGATTTTCTTTCTTTTTGGGTCACCCTGCCTCGGTGGGAGACGGCCGACTTGTTGAAAAAAAAAAATGTACAGAAAAAGGTTTGGCAATCAATAATACGTATATATTTTAAGAAAAAATAAAGAGGATAAATAAGTATGAGATATAAAGGGAGTGACGATTGCAGTTTGTTGGACTATGTATTAGTAGATAATATCTTAATGGGTAGATAAATAACTAAAAGGCACAATACTGTGACTGGAACAATACACAAATAACCCGCACTTACAACGATGTTTTGGTCCAACTTGGACTATTTACGAAGTCACACTAACAGAAAGGAGAGAAGGGAGTGTGTATAGGCCAGCAGACAGAGATGGGATGAGAGAGGTAGTAGAGGAAGATGAGAAGTAGCCGTAGAGGTAGTAGTAGTGGAGTCAGTCAAACTGTAAGAAAGAGGAGCACTGTAAGGGAGCAGGGTCCCACAAATGGTAGGAACAAAAACACAGAGGGGGGGGAAATAATAATGGACCAAATACCCAAGGAAGAAGAAAAAAAAAGGGGGGGGGAAGGAGGAGGGAGAATCAGGTTAAGTCATGGGTGTTTTGAAGTTTTGAGCATTTTACAATGTAATGGGAGAAGAAGGCATCTACAGAAACAAAGCCAGGACTAAGATTACACAAAGGAAAGTTGTGTGTGTGAGGGAGGATTCAACTAGATGGCGACTGTGAAAGTTAGAAGTAGGGTAAGAGTTTTAGCAAAGACAAGTCAGTAGGATGACTGTGATCTCAGACATGACAGAAAGAGCATTGTTGGTGTCAGCAAGCCTACACTACGTTTGTGCTCCCTGAGTCTGTCAGAAAGACAACAGCCAGTTAAGAAGTATCTTTCCATCATACATTGCCCAGGTTTCAATAAGATAGTCCAACAAACAAATGAGATCCAATTCCCTAGATAAAGAGCAAGAGCCCCTCACCAGCGTCAAGGAACCTCCCTTGAGGCTCGCTCGCTTATGGAAACTTTGCTCACGTATGGAAGCAAAAAATCAACAGTGTGACTGCTTGTATTTGGAAAAAAACTTGCATTGGATGTGCTCACAAGTGGAGGTTCCACTGTATTCTATAAACAGTTGTGTCAGTGTTTGTTAATGCTTCTGGGTATCTTACAACAAGAGATTCTAATTCTGTATGTATGACCCAACTATGTACAAATGTGTGTATTCTCAAAAAAGTGTGTAGATTTAACTACGATGTGCATGTCCCCCTCCCTTCCTCAGGGTGGTGCCTTAATGCCATTGACTCCTGATCCATTGAAGTGGACCTGTCATTTTCCTTCCAGGGATTTGAATCTGATTGCTTCCAATTCCCTATTTGCTGTATGATTCCTTGTAGGTCTAGTGCTTTGCCTGATGATAGTAAATTTAAATGTATGAAACCTGTCATAAGGAATAACTATAAGCTTCTTTTCCCTACAGGAATGTGCTACTAGGGTTAGCATGTAACGAGAACATCTCAGAAGTTGATCTAGACCTAAGTAGTAACCAGTTAAGTGCAACAGGAGCACAAATATTGGAGTCCTGTATCCATGGGGTCCGATGTTTGTCAGCATTAGACATCTCTGATAAATGGTAATACTGAGTTTCCTTCAGATTTTATTAAAAGGAATTATTGGTTAATAAAAATATTTAGTACTTTTTAGTATGAGAATGTATAATATTTGTACAGTAATTGTGTAATTTGTGTATTTTTAAAATCTTTCGATAAGGTAAATAACCAAGTGTATTCTTCAACAGGATTAGAGACTCAGCTTGGTCCTGTAGTAGCAGCAATTAGTAAAAACAAAAGTATTAAAAATTAAATATTGGTCGCAACCTTAATAATATTAAGAGCAAGCACGTCTACCATGTAATGGAGTCTGTTGTACAAATGATTCAGGTGAGTCTTTATCCTTCATATTGGCTTTCATATAGATGCCTATTTAAAATTCTGCACATTTATGATTTTTTTTTTTTCTTCAACAAGTTGGCCATCTCCCACCTAGGCAGGGATGACCCAAAAAAGGAAAGAAAATCCCCAAAACGAAAGTATTTTCATCATCATTCAACATTTTCACCTGACTCATACATAATCACTGTTTTTACAGAGGTGCCCAGATACAACAGTTTAGATACAATATAAAAAGTGACCTGAAATAATATAATAAACTCCCTATAGAATATAATGTCAGGGCCCAATGATATATATACTGTCCTATTACACATCCCTCCAAACTGGCAATATCCCAAACCCCTCCTTTAAAGTGCAGTCATTGTACTTCCCATTTCCAGGACTCAAGTCCGGCTATATAAAAATAACCGGTTTCCCTGAATCCTTTCACTAAATATTACCCTGCTCACACTCCAACAGCTCGTCAGGTGCCAAAAACCATTTGTCTCCATTCACTCCTATCTAACACGCTCATGCATGATTGCTGGAAGTCCAAGCCCCTTGCCCACAAAAACCTCCTTTACCCCCCTCCCACCAACCTTTTCGAGGACGAACCCCCTCCCGCCTTCCTTTCCCTACAGATTTATACACTCTTCAGTTCATTCTACTTGGAGCCATTCTCTCTAATGACCAGACCACTTCGCCAACCCTTCGTCAGTCCTCTGACCAATACTTTTATTAAACTCCACACCTCCTAATTTCCACACTTCAAATTCTTGGCATAATATTTATACCACACATTGCCCTTAGACAGGACATCTCCACTGCCTCCAATTGCCTCCTCACTGCAGCATTTATAACTCAAGCTTCACACCCATATAAGTTTGTTGATACCACTGTACTTTCATACATTCTCTTCTTTGCCTCCATAGATAACGTTTTTTGTCTCCACATATGCCTCCACGCAGCACTCGCGTTTTTTTTCCTCATCAATTCTATGGTTAACCTCATAATAATATAATAATAATAATAATGATAATAATAATAAGTTCATTCTTTGTAAAGGTTGCTTTTTTTTTTTTTTTTTTTTTTTTTTTTTTTTTAATACACTGGCCGATTCCCACCAAGGCAGGGTGGCCTGAAAAAAGAAAAACTTTCACAATCATTCACTCCATCACTGTCTTGCCAGAAGGGTGGTTTACGCTACAGTTTTTTTTAAACTGCAACATTAACACCCTCCTTCAAAGTGCAGGCACTGTACTTCCATCTCCAGGACTCAAGTCCCGGCCTGCCAGTTTTCCCTGAATCCCTTCATAAATGTTATTTTGCTCACACTCCAACAGCCGTCAAGTATTAAAAACCATTTGTCTCCATTCACTCCTATCAAACACGCTCACGCATGCCTGCTGGAAGTCCAAGCCCCTCGCACACAAAACCTCCTTTACCCCCTCCCTCCAACCTTTCCTAGGCCGACCCCCTAACTCCGCCTTCCTTCCACTACAGACTGATACACTCTTGAAGTCATTCTTTTTCGCTCCATTCTCTCTACATGTCCGAACCACCTCAAAAACCCTTCCTCAGCCCCTGGACAACAGTTTTGGTTTAATTCCGAAACCTCCTCCTAACTTCCAAACTACGAATTCTCTGCATTTATTCACACCACACATTCCCCCTCAGACATGACATCTCCACTGCCTCCAGCCTTCTCCTCGCTGAAAACATTCATCACCCATGCTTCACACCCTATAAGAGCATTGGAAAAAACTATACTCTCATTACATTCCCCTCTTTGCCTCCAAGGACAAAGTTCTTCGTCTCCACTAACTCCTAAGTGCACCGCTCACCCCTTTTCCCCTCATCAGTTCTATGATTCACCCCCACTTTTCATAGACCCATCCGCTGCAACGTCCACTCCCAAATATTTTGAATACATTTACCTCCTCCATACTCTCTCCCTCCAATCTGATATCCAATTTTTCATCACCTAATCTTTTTGTTATCTCAAAAACCTTACTTTTTTCCTGTATTCACTTTTATTTTCTTCTTTTGCATACCCTCCCAAAATTTTAAATCCACCAACCTCTGCCAACTTCTCTTCAGAATCCCCCAAGAGCACAGTGTCATCAGCAAAGAGCAACTGTGGACAACTCCCACTTTGTGTGATTCTTTATCTTTAACTCCACCCCTCTTGCCAAGACCCTCGCATTTACTTTTCCCTTACAACCCCATCTATAAATTATATTAAACAACCACAGTGACATCACACATCCTTGTCTAAGGCCTACTTTTACTGGGAAATAATCTCCCTCTTTCCTAATACTCTAACTTGAGCCTCATAGCCTCGTAAAACTCTCACTGCTTTCAGTAACCTACCTCCTATACCATACACCTGCAACATCTGCCACTTTGCCCCCCTATCCACCCTGTCCATACGCCTTTTCCAAATCCTAAATGCCACAAAAACCTCTTTAGCCTTATCTAAATACTGTTCATTTATGTTTCACTGTATACACCTGGTCCAAAACCCCCTCTCCCTTTTTCCAAAAGCCTCCTTGTTCATCTGCTATCCTATTCCCCGTCTTACCCTTAATTCTTTAAATAATAACTTTACCATACCACCAGACTTATCCCTATTAATTTTTTACACTTTTTTGTCCCCTTTGCCTTTATACAAAGGAACTATGCATGCTCTCTGCCAATCCCTAGGTACCTTACACTCTTCCATACATTTATTAAATAATTGCACCAACTACTCCAAAACTATATCCCCACCTGCTTTTAACATTTCTATCTTTATCCCATCAATCCCAGCTGCCTTACCCCCTTTCATTTTTTCCTACTGCCTCACGAACTCCCCCACACTCACCACTGGCTCTTCCTCACTCCTACAAGATTAAATTTCCCCCTTTCCCTATACACGAAATCACAGCTTCCCTATCTTCATCAACATTTAACTATTCCTCAAAATATTCCTTCCGTCTTCCCCAATACCTCTAACTCTCCATTTAATAACTCTCTTCTCTTGTTTTTAACTGACAAATCCATTTGTTCTCTTTGGCTTTCTTAACTTGTTAAATTTTACTCCAAAAACTTTTTCTTATTTTTAACAAAATTTGTTGATCACATCTCACCCACTTTCTCATTTGCTCTCTTTTTACATTGCTTCACCACTCTCTTAACCTCTCTCTTTTTCTCCATATATTCTTCCTCCTCCTTGCATCACTTCTACTTTGTAAAAACTTCTCATATGCCCTTACTACTCTCTTTACAAACATCATTCCCCCAATCACTCCTCTTCCCTCCCACACCCACTTTCCTGTAACCCAAACTTCTGCTGAAACTTTAACACTACATTTTTAAACCTACCCCATACCTCTTTGACCCCATTGCCTATGCTCTCATTAAACCCCATCTATCCTCCAGTAGCTGTTTTTTATTTACCCTAACTGCCTCCTCTTTTAGTTTAAAAACCTTCACCTCTCTTTTCCCCTGAGGCTTCTATTCTCCTTGTATCCCATCTACCTTTTACTCTCAGTGTAGCTACAACTAAAAAGTGTTTCTGATATATCTGTGGCCCCTCTATAAACATGTACATCCTGAAGTCTACTCAACGTCTTTTATCTACCATACATAATCCAACAAACTACTGTCATTTTGCCCTACATCATATCGTGTATACTTATTTATCCTCTTTTTTTTAAAAATATGTATTACCTGTAACAAACCCCCCTTTTTCTATACAAAGTTCAATCAAAGGGCTCCAAATTATCATTTACACCTGGCACCCAAACTTCCCTACCACACCCTCTCTAAAATTTTCTCCTACTTCAGCATTCAGGTCCCCTACCACAATTACTCTCTCACTTGGTTCAACAGTTCCTATACATTCACTTAACATCTCCAAAATCTCTCTCTCTCCTCTACATTCCTCTCTTCTCCAGTTGCATACTCGCTTATTAGGGACCCACTTTCGCACCCAACCTTTACATTAATTACATAATCCTTGAATTTACGCATTCATTTTCTCTTTTATCCTTCCATAACTGATCCTTCACATTACGGGCTACCCCTTCCTTAGCTCTAACTCTCCCCAGATACTCCAGATTTAATCCCATTTGTTTTCCCCCACCGAAACTCCCCTACCCCCTTCAGCTTTGTTTCGCTTAGAGCCAGGACATCCAAATTCTTTTTATTCATAACCATCAGCAATCATCTGTTTCTTGTCATCTGCACTACATCCCATGCACATTCAAGCATCCAGTTTTATAAAGTTTTTCTTTTTCTCTTTTTAGTAAATGTCTACAGGAGAAGGGGTTACTAGCCCATTGCTCTCGGCATTTTAGTCGCCTCATACGACACGCATGGCTTACGGAAGAAAGATTCTTTTCCACTTCCCCATGGACAATAGAAGAAATAAAGAAGAACAAGAGCTATTTAGAAAAAGGAGAAAAACTTAGATGTCTGTATATATATATGCATGTGCGTGTCTGTGAAGTGTGACCAAAGTGTAAGTAGGAGTAGCAACATATCCCTGTTATCTAGCGTGTTTATGAGACAGAAAAAGACACCAGCAATCCTATCATCATGCAAAACAGTTACAGGTTTCTGTTTCACGGTCATCTGGCAGGACGGTAGTACTTCCCTGGGTGGTTGCTGTCTACCAACCTAGTACCTTCAATCTTATTTAGTAACAAGGAGTTCTTTCCCAGCTGTGGAAATCTGCCATTGTTCTCCCTTTCCACAAACAGGGTACTACAAGACGTGATGCCTCCCACTATCATCCCGTTGCTCTTACCAGTGCACCAGTGCACTTTGCAAGGTGATGGAACATCTGGTAAATCAACGTTTAACGTGGTATTTAGAGACACAACCATCTCTCCAGTAATCAATATGGCTTTTGCAATTGCCATTCTACCATTGACCCCTTAGTACGCTTGGATACATATGTTCGTAATGCCTTTGCAAATAACCACTCAATTATTGCCATATTTTTTGACCTTGAGAAGGCA